TAAAAAAAAAAAAAAAAAAAAAAGAAATACAAAGCTAAATTAAGTTAAATCAGAAACCGATCCCATTATAAATATTTATACATATGACCTAACTTACATTTAATTTTAATTTATAGCTTCTACATGGGTAATGGTGGCTCTCATATACCATTCAATAGTGCAACTCACAATATTGGTACTTAGAAGAAATATCATATTTTTGTTTTCTTAGAGAAGAAAAAAAAGCCTTCAAATGCTTTTTTTCTAATATTGTGTTGACTTACTAGCTTTTGAGTCTAGAGGTTTAGTGACTATTTGGGCAATGATACATACCATCCATAGAAAAGATGGTCAAATTAAGGGCTAAACAAATGGCAGAAAATATCTTCATTGTCACAGAATCAAAACAGGCATTAAATTCACTACAAATGTAATTGCATCTTCTTCTGAATCCTAATAAAATACTATATAGCATCTGTGGTGCTCTTTTAGTGTTTTACTACATACTGCTTTTCATACAGTTATCTTGTTTATTTAAATATATGAACTTTTCTCCTGCTTTTTTAATTACACAAGGGATATTTGACAGATAAGCTCATTTTTCAGATACCTTTATGAGAGATTAAAAAAAAAGTTGGAAGTTTTTATTTATAATTTCCGAGTTTCAATCTGAGGTATGTAAAGTCTGTAGTTCCTTTTTTAGTAGAACTCAGGCTTATTCAGTGGTGGTATGAGATAAAGCCTCAACTTAGAGTAATTGAAGTGTTGCCTTATTTTGTTAAAGTTTTAGTTGTATTATCTCTCCTACCAGTATTAAATGTTTGAATAAAACCTTTATTGTGCCTGTATTGTGAGATTCCGAATAAATGAGACTTTTGAAACATCTATTAAATAAGATGATGATACATCTTATAGCTATACTCAGAACAGTTGGTGGTCTGTTTAGTCACCACTTGTGGAAATAATCACAACATTGTTATTATTGATATTATTATGAATTTTAAAGCCTAAAATGGCTTCTTTTTTATCAAACATCCAGTTCAACATGCTCCTATCCTAGTAGGCCTACAAAATGACTCTATATCCCATTTTTGATTGTTTCTGAGAATTAACCACATTGTTTATTATCTACAAGATAAAATCTCTTCCCCAACACTGTTCATAATCACTCTTAACAGGGAGGGGCTGGGTAAATGTCAGAGTTCAAGGTTAAATGGAATGAGATATGTTTTTAAATTAATATGCTACCCTGTGTGTCAAAGTCACATATGTTTTCTTTTACATTTTCTATTTTCTTATAGTTCTTGGTTTACATATGTTATTCTCCCTAAAGTATATTTTCCATTCCTTAGAGATAAAAACTGTGATTCACCCATTTTCATACAGAAATGTACCCATTTTTTGAGTAATTTATACATTTTACTCAAAAATATATGTTAAATTTAGTCAATATTTATTCTTGGCCAACTATGTGTAAGGTATTGAGCTGTGAATAGAAGACGAGAAGACAGCAGGAGACCATATTTCTAACCTTTCAGAAGCTTTCAACTTAGTGAAGGAGATGATAATGTATGTAATAACTGTTATATACGAAACAGCTTGCTTATTGCTAGAACAGAGGCATACTTACAGAATTTAGTCTACTGTTGTAGATTAATCATGCCTCTTTACCCTTTCATAAGTGTCCATAACGAAATTGATGGTATTTGTAACCAGCCCAACTGTATTTTGCTTCTACTCGAGGGGCAGCCAATGAAAATGGAGGATGTGAAACTCTACACTGAAGAGTTGCAAAAAATGATGACCGAAGTGCAAGAGATGAATCAGAAACACAGTAGTATGAATGCCAAGTTTACCAAACTGAAAAAGTAAGTGTTAATCAAGATTTCCAATGCCCATTTCTAGGGTTTTAATGTTGATTCCTTCCGAGTTGAGAAACTGAAAACTTGTTTTCTATGGCACTTTACTGTGGTTTCTTTTAAAGGAAATCACATCACTGTCAAAAAGTTTAGCATCTGCTAATGTTCCAGTGCCTGAGATCATATAATTCTGGCTGATAAGCATACCACTGTATAAATCAAAAATAAGGGGCTGGGGTTTTAGCTCAGCGGCAAAGCGCCTGCCTGGCAAGCGCAAGGTCGTGAGTTCAGTTCCCAGTACCGGAGAAAAACCAAAAAATAAATAAAGAAATAAATAAATAAATCAAAAATAAAATTACCACCAGCCAAGACAACTTTGCAGGTATGAGTACTATAACAAATATCCATTTCCATTTGATGTGAGAAAAACAGAAAACAGACGTTAAGTATACAGGTTCTGTATTTAAGTACTCTAGTTTACATTTTTGGCTTATTTGCAAGTTCTGTGGCCTTTTTAACAAACTTTGTCTATAAAAATATACTTTACCATGTTTTTCAGTGCTTTATAAGGAATCACAGATTGCATGACATAGCATGCAATTTCTCTTAATATTAGAAGCTTTGCTCAGACAGTAATGTTCAAAGGCAAAATTTAAATCATTAAATAATCACACAATACCTGTGAGAAAAGAGTATAACCCATTATTTAGTTTAGAGGAAATATGTATGACTATGTTCCAGCAAAATGTCTGTCAATAGTCAAATTTCAAGTTTTCTGTAAACCTTTCAATGAAGTAAAAAAGTACATTTTTTTGTCTTGGAAAATCATCAAAACTGATCAATTTTGTTTGGCCATGGTAACTAAAATAAAGACGACACACGAAATACTCATCACTCACAATTAATTGCCACTCCTGTAAACTCCATAGACATGCAAAGGGCCATCGAGAATCATGAATAATTCCACGAGCATAAACTTGAAAAAGTACCTTTAATTTCATGATTTTATCCTTTGATTTAATCAATTACTTCTCACCTCAAGTAAGGGAGAAAAGAGAGAGGTGGAGAGGAGAATGGAAGTATTTTTCTTCCTTTTTCAATAATATTAAATATAACCCAGGATTTTCATGGATACTGACCATGAGCTAACCCTTTATGGTAATTCTGGATATCAGGCTGCTGTTGAGTGTTAAGCAAAGCGTACATGTATATCATGTGGTTGAGGATGCTTCAGTGATTTCTGGCTGATTTTGTAGGTAAACCAGACCATAAATTATTGGGCAAGAGTGAACTAGATGGCCTTCTGAAATTCCTTTTAGCCAAATATTTCTGATACTTTCATATTGTGGAATTCGGATTATATTAAGTCACACTTAAAAACTAATTCTGTATAAGAAGTTTTTAGTCTCTTACTCTGGTATAACATCTCTTGTCATATTGTTCAGGCTAAATATAGATAGTTTAATGTAAACTCACAGATATTTAGCTGGTTTTTTTTCCAGTCTTCTATGAAGTATTGTTCTACTCTCGTAACTGTTAAGAAGGAACTTAAATTAGTATTATCTTGATTTGCAGTGATTTTCATGTTCTCAAGTATATAAGAATATGTATTAAGGCAGTCCATGTTTTCAAAAATACTAGCGTAGGAGATGGGGATGTGACTCAGTGGTAGAGCTCTTGGGTAGCATGCATCAAGCTTTGGGTTAAATCCCCAGAAAAACAACAAAAAAGACCTGAATGACAAAAGTCATTCAATTTGGGGTTTGTTTGGGTTTTTTTGTACCAGGAATCAAACTCAAAACCTCACACTTGCCAGGGAGGTGCTGTGCCTCTGAGCTATATTCCTCGCTGCAAAAGTATCACTGTAAAGGACTAATTAACAAAGATTGAAAGGAATTAAAATTTAAGTCTGAATTATTCAGGTAGGATAATAGGAAGATAACCTTCCTGAAGAACATCATGAATACTATAACTCAGATACTTCAATATATTACTACCTATTGTAGCTTAAAAATTCTAGAGATGTTTCTATTCTGTTTCATTTGGAAAATATGCTCTATGGCAGGCAATATACAACACTTTGTCTTGAAATGAAAACTCTGAGGCAGAAGCATGGTGAGCAACAGCGGCTGTTAACACAGGTATTGGTTCAGTTTTTAAAAGATCATAATACTTTTCTGTAAATTTTTGATTGGAACTACTGTATGGCATTGTTGGCTTAAATATAGAGTAATTATACTATAAAGTCCTGTGAAAACTAAAAGAAAAGTATATTAATTTTTAGTTATGTGTATTGGGATGCCTGTAACTTTCCACTTTAGCTATGGATTTCTCTAATTACTGAGTATAATACCCTAATTAAAACATTCTCTATGATTTGTTTTTAGATTCTTCAGTTTATCCTGAAGTCGATAAGTAAAAATCAGATGGCAAACAAAAGCAGTACAAGGTAAATTTATGGACTCCATGTATTTTCGTGATTAGAGAAGGACACTTTACACTCAAAATTATGTCTCATAATTTTTCTTTTTTCCAAGCTCACTCTTATTTTTCAAGTTAGAGCACTTAGTCAGCATATATAAATTATGTATGCAATATCAGGATGAAAATGATACCTCCTGAGGAAGTCCAAACACATCATCAGTTCATTGTATATTGGTTTTCCTTTTGTTCTTATATTTTTATAATGATAAACTGGGCATGGTGTTGCATGCCTATAATCGCAGAACTTGGGAGGCTGAAGCAGGAGGATTGCTGCAAGTTCAAGGCTAGCCTGGACTATGTGGCAAGGCCCTGTCACAGAAAAAGGAAATGATAAAAGACTAACCTGCTATGGTATGATCATAGTAGATGTATCCTAGTTGCTGGTACTTGCTTGTAGGTTGCTTCTGTCCTTAAGGTGGGTTCTAGGGGTGTCATTGAGAACTATTGTACTGTAGTCTTGTTAAATTTCACTCATTCTAAGGTTTCTAGTCACCTCTAAGGAGCCAACTTCAACAGGATCTCTTCTTTTTAAAATAAGTGTTCACTTTTTAAAACTTTTACTGATTTGTTTATTTACTTGTTGCCGGGGATTTAATCCAGGATTTCGTATGTGCTATGCACATGCTGTGTGACTGAGCTAATACCCCAGACCCTGAATCCCTTGTTATACTTCCCCAGAGATTCTCCTGCAATAAATTGGATGATATTCTTCAACTTCACCTTGTTAGAGTCATGAAACTTTGTAGAAATTCTTCATACAAGAAATTACTCTGACCAGAAAGAACAAAACCATTTCACCTATGATTTTTTAAGTAGAAGTTTCCAGCTCCCTCTTAACTGGCCCTTTGCAACCTAAAATTGTGGGATTTTTCTAAGTCTCAAGACAGAGTATTTAATTATAAAATATTTTTGTAAGATGCTACCTAATTGTACCTTAAACACAAATTCCTATGTTGTTGGCTTGACACTTCAGACTTGATTAAGCAACTTAGAACCAATGGATAGTAATTAATGACCAATGTTACTGAGTATGTGCAGAGTGCTAAGCCTGATATGGTTTATCTCATTTAATTCTCAGAAAAATTCTATTTCATAGGCGCTAACGTTGTCTTCATTTCACAGATGATGATACTGAGTTCAACAACATTATCTAAAGTCACATAGTTAATATATAACAGAATCAAAATTCAAACCTTACTACTGGGCGTCATTGACTCTAGGGCATTGTTTCCCATTTGTCTCCCTTCTTCCCACTTTTGAGGCTTTCTGGTAACTTTTAATTTTGAAATGAAATCAACAGAAAAAATGTTGAGAATACTATAAAGGACTCCCATGTAGCTTTTACCCAGATTCTCTAATTTTAACATTTAGTCCTATCGTTTGCTTTCTGTCTCTGTCTCTTTCTCTCTCTCTCACCCTACACACACACACACACACACACACACACACACACACACAATTATTTTTCTGAAGCATTTGAGATTGTTTCAGGCATGATATACATTTACTCCTTAGTACTTAATGTATATTTCCAAAGAACAATGACTTTTTCTTACAAAAGTGCTGTGCAGTATCAAAATCAGGATACTTAACATTGATTTAACACTATTTTCTAATCCTCAGTTCATACTTAAGTTTTATCAGTTGTCTCAGTGATGTTCTTTATACCCACAATCTTCCCTCTCTCTTCTGTTCTCTGTCTCATACCTATGCTGCATTTACTTATTATATCTTCATTCTTTCTTAACCTGGAACAGTTCCTTAGCCTATCTTTGTCTTTCATGACTTCAACAGTTTTGGCCAGTAATTTTGGCAGAATATACAGTGAGGGCACTTTGCATTCGGCCTAGTCTCATGATTATAATCAGATTACGTTTTTTGGCAGCAATACCAAAAAGTGATGTTGTGGGCATATCACAGACACCTGAGGTCAGTTTTTGCCCTTGTTGTTGATGCTGACTTTAATCACTTAAATTAAAATGGTATCCCCGAAGAGTGTCACCATCCTTAAGTTGCTATTTTCATTTTGTAATTATTAACTTGTGGGGAGATACAGTAAGTCCCCAATTTATGAGTGTTCAAGTTGCAAAATTGCATAGATATGAACAGACCTCACATTACGAACATTTATAGATGCGAATAAATTATGGAAGTAGCACACTTGTCCACCTTACCACTTTAAGGTAACTGTAAAAGTAAAAATAATTTATTTATGCTTGTACTGTACTGTACCACCATTTCAAGGTAACTATAAAAGTGAAAATAGTTTATTTGTAGTATTTTTGTGTGTGTTTGGTTGTTTTATGCTTTACATTGCATATTTATGTCAGAGGTGTGTAAGATTCACCTTGTCAGACTTATGAATGAATTTGACTTATGATCATTCTCCTGGAATGGAGCTTGTTTGTAAGTAGGGGATGTACTGTACTTGAGTCTATTAAATACTGTTCTTAAAAATTTATGCATCAGGGGCTGGGGATTTAGCTCAGCGGCAAAAGCACCTGCCTGGCAAGCGCAAGGTCATGAGTTCAGTTCCCGGTTCCAGAGAAAAACCAAAACCAAAAAAAACCAAAAAAAAAAAAATTTATGCATCAATTTTAGCTTTGATTTAGGATTCTTTTTTTATTCTCAACATATTACTATGATATTTGTATAATACAAACATTATTCATTTATCAACCAAATTCCGTTCCTGTGATTAGATTGTTAAATGAATTGATCTTTAAATGAAGAATTGTATATAGTGTGTACATTAGAGTATTATTCATAGCAAAGAAATGGTCAAAGAAAATTCCAACTTCATGACTTTCTTTTATCTGAATGTAAAACTACAGTACTGTGCAGTACAGTCCACAAAAATTATAGTACCATCTAAATAAGGTGTACTCTATAACAAAAAGACATTGAGGCTCTACAAACAAGATATACAGATCTGTATCAAAAAAGGATGAGTTGTAAGTCTGAGCAGCAGGTGGTAAGTCTGAACAATTGTTAAACAGGTAGCATGTTAAATGAGGAATGTCTGTAGTGATTTTCTAATCACATCAGTCCTCTACATTTTTAGTTTCCATTCTAAGGAAAAACATTTCCTGCTTCCTTATTATTTATTTATATAAGTATGGAATCACGGATTCTTATTTTATTCAAAAGATTATAATCCTTACTAGACTATGTCCATTGATAGGTACATCCTCATTAACTATTTACTTTTGGTATAATAGGAATTCTAGATTTAATTTGTACTTTATCTGTTTCAGCCTTGGAATCAGGCATCCCTTAAAGGAACCTAGTTTCCCCTTTTATTCTTTACTTTAGTTTTAGCTGACCCAGTGTATATTAAAGGCAAAATAATCCAAGCACTAAGGCCAGGCATAGTGGTATGTTGTAATCCTAGCACTTGTAAGGCTGAAACAGGAAGATCTCCAGTTTGAGGCCAACCTAAGATATGCAGTGAGACCCTGTCTCACAAAATCAAAACAATAGTAATAACCAAAGCTTTTAAGATTTCATTAGGGGGACATAGAAGAAAAATTATAAGTAGTGATAATGTTCTAGATTGCCACTCATTCTACTCAGCTATCATTTGGGTAACTTTGTTTGCGCTCCTTAATGATGATATCTTAAAACATTTAATTCTAATGGGACTATTCTGACAAAAGGTGTTTAATATTCAGCTCTTTACTACTGACCATTGCAGCACTAGGATGATTTACAACTGTGAAATCTGGGTGTCATTGCAGGTCATTACCAGCCATATGTGAAGCTGAAGCTTCCAAATGTCCTCGTCAGTATTTCCATATCCCAGAGGAGAAAGAGAAAGAAGCTGTAAGATTCTGAAATAAAATGATGGTGGTGGGCGGGCAAAAAAATCATTTACTGTCAGTTAAATTTTCAGTGTCTGTTAATGTTATTTTTCACACAATTGTTAAATATTCTTAAAGGAAATCATACCACATATGGTCTGAGAAAGACTAGATGCACATACGGGTACATAATCAATTCTCATTTCCTCTAATTATCCTATTTAGATGGAGATATTAAAAGATGGTTATGCAATTATTGAAGAAAAATATAAAAATCTCCTTGACGGTGATTTACCGGCTTTGAAAAATGAATACAAAAACTTATTTTCATCTGGGGACCAAGAAAATGGAGGCAATGGGTAAGCAACCTTGTGAGCAACGTTTTGGTAATGAAGTATAGTATGTTGTGCAGCTATGTTAAAGTATGGGCTATATTCTGTTTTTAAATGAACAAAACTGCTTTCCTTCAGTTACAAAATCAACACTGCTGACTTCCTCTCAGTACATTATGTATTTCTGCTTTTTTCTTAGTGATGTAATGGTACTGCAATCTGTGTTCTTGCCCAGTCCCCCATATGACTCCCAAAACACTCTTGCAAAACAGTTTGACCTGTGTGTAAACTAGTGAAATCATTGAAGAAATAAGGTATGAAAACATAGCTTACTTAATATACATATATGATCAGTACCTTTGCTACATGTCAGCAATAGCCAGTTCAAAAATCTTATGAAAAATTCCATTCACAAAACCAACAAAAACTTAAGTTAGCAACTACTATAAATTTAATGAGAAATATGGAGAACCTATTTGGGGGAAAACATGCTTGCAAATTTGCAAGTTTTTAATACATGAATATCATTTTTACTGAAACATAATATTCATACATTTGTACATTGTGCATTATGGTAATTTAATCCATGTATATAATAAGCAGTAACTAAATGAGAGCAATTAGCATTTCCATCTCTTCAGTGGTTAAACATTTCTATTTGTTGGAAATTCTATACTGCTCTAATTACTTTGACATATAACACAGACTATTTTAAAGAGTAGTTATCCTATGGTGCTGTAGAAAACCAGAGCTAATTCCTCCTCTATAATTATGTTTTTGTACTTTTTATTTATCTTCTTTCCACCTGCTTCCCCAGCTTCTAGTGACCACCATTTCACTCCAGTCTTCTACAACACAACATTTCTGTTTCCACAAACAAATGAGAATGTGTGATAGATGTCTTTCTGCATCTGGCTTACTTTGCTTTACAATGAACTCCAGTTTCATCCATGTTGCTACAAGTGGCAGGATTTCATTCTTTTCCAGGACTGAATAATATTCAGTGTGTACTTTGTATATATATCACATATTGTCCATTCACTAATGGAAATCTAGACTGATTCCAGATTTCAGCTACTGTGAATAGCATTGCAATAAACTTGAGAGTACAAATGGTTTTGGTATAATGATCTTATTTTCTTTGGATGTATACTGAGTAGAGGTATTACTGGATCTTATGGTAGTTCACTTTCAGAGTTTTGAGGAATCTCCATAATGTTTTGCATAATGGCTATACTAATTTACAATTTACAATTCCTACCAACAGTGTAGAACAGTCCCCTTTTCTCTGCATCCTTACTAGCATCTATTATTCTTTTCTCTTTTTGGTGATAGTCATTTTAACTGGGAGGAGATCTCATAGTGATTTTGATTTGCATGCCCCTAATGATCAGTGACATGAAGCATTTTTAAGTATCCTTTTGCCCATATTTGTATCTTCTTTTTTAAAAATTACTTATTCAAAAAAATTACTTATTCAAATCTTTATGCAATTTTAAATTCATTATTTGTGGATATATGTGTGTGTGTGTGTGTGTGTGTGTGTGTGTGTGTGTGTATTATTGGGGACTGAGCCTAGGACCTTGCACATACGAAGCAAGCACTTTACCACTGTTACATTGTCAGCCCAGTGCATATCACTTTTAAGTGTGTGTCACAGATAGATGGATGCTAAATATCTAGACGTCTGTTGAGGAAGGTTATTAGTCCAGACATCTCAGCCTAAGTTTTGTCTGTATGAGCAGAAAGTAGATCCAAATGGAAAATCATTATGTCTGCTACAGGATAGTGAGAGCTTCAGAAAGGGATATCTGGCAAGGAGACTGTTGGAGGAGAACCTTCCAGTGGAAGATTACGTAGCAGGAAGAATATTATGCAGTATCTTTTGGAAGTATAGGAAACCTGAGGTAGCAGAATATTTTGAGAGAGATCAAGCGTTCAAGGGGAAGGACATTACAGATATAACCAGGGGTGGCTTAGAGCCTGGACATATAAAGAGAAGCAAACTGTTGAGTCAACTGTGCCTGGACCTGAAGTGTTTAAGGAATAAGACAACAGGAAGTTCATGTTTCTGGAGCAGGAGGTAGAAATGTACAGACTCGGTTCTCGAATTACATTTTTGCAAGCATATTGTCCCTTAAAGCCAGAAGCATGACATTTGTCTACTTGGGTGTTGGCCCAGAAGAGTTGCACAGATGTATCCTCTTCCACGCTTTCATTATATGAACAGAGGTGTGGAATGCTGACGGTAGCCACATTTGAAAAACAGAGTATACCAGAGTTTTTTCTAAAGAAAATAGGGAGAAATACCAGTAAATCTCAGATTTTATGGTATCTAGAGTGTTAAAATTGTAATGAATGATATTTGAACATCCCCACAATGAAACTTAGAAGCTAATTTTAAAAATTTAACTTTCAGGGAATCTACACAGTCACAGATATTTGACAGTCTTCTAAAATATCAACTCAGAAAGAATATGGAAAAGTATAGTGACCTATGCAGCTTAATTATGAAGTGTGATTGAAAACTATGGTGAATGTTTAAATTTAAAATGATTTATTACAATAAAAGACATACTGTCATTAATCGCCCTTAAAATGCTCGTCCTAACTTATACTGCACTTATCCCATCATTCTTGCCACTTTCTAAAGCAGATATGGAAGTCCTTTTGCACGAATTCCTTTAGTTATGCTGTCTTGGCCACCTTGATGTGCTGAATCGATTAAAACTGTTTACCTTTTGTGGTCATTTTGGCTTTGGTGAAGAGCCAGAGGTCACATGGTACCATATCCATTGACTAAGGTGGATGAGGACACACTGTAATGTTTTAAAAGTTTGCCTTTCCACTGGATGTCATTCAATAGCAGCATTCACCTTATTTTTGATAACACCTCTGCCAGATCCTCACAAACACGCTTATTTATTTCACTTACCATTATGGTCTCAAGCTCCATCTCTTTCCCCGTATATAACTCAAACTTAGCCTTCTTCATAGCTGAGTGGTACTGCATTGTGTATATATACCATGTTTTCTTTGTCCATTTATCTGTTGGTGGGCCTATAGGTTGCTCCCATAATTTAGCCATTGTATATGGTGCACTTAGCATATTATTTTCAAGATTCACCCATGTTATGTAATGGGTCAATACTTTAATTATTTTTAGTTGCAAATAAAATTACATTATATGGATATACCACATTTTACTGGCACATTTATCAGGTAATAGGTAGTTGATTGCGTTCCATTTTTTGCTATTGTGGAGAAATTTGCTGTGAACATTTACAAGAAGATGATTATGTTTGTATTTTTCTTGGATAGATAGCAAAATGTGGAACTGATAGAAATTAACAGAATTAGGGCTGGGGATATAGCTCAGTCGCACAAGAGCCTGCCTGGCAAGTGTGAGGTTGTGAGTTCGATTCCCAGTACCAAAAAAAAAAAAAAAGAAAGAAAGAAATTAATGGAATTGCCAGCCATGGTGGTGCATGCTTGCAATTCCAGCACTTGGGAGGCGGAGGCAGGAGGATTACTGCAATTTTGAGGCCAGCCTGTGCTACATAGTTAGTCCAAGACCAGCCTGGACTACACAACACTATCTGGCTCAAATAAGAAAGAGAGTGAGAGACACACAGAGAGAGAAAGAGAGAGAGGAAGAAAGAGAAAGAGAAATGAATAAAATTGAATGGAAAATTATATCTAACTTCTTAACAATTGCTGGACTGTTTTCCAAAGTGGTTATGTCACTTCACATTCATTTCCACCAGCAATATATAGTGGTTCCTGTTTTTCTATATCCTTATCATTTCTTGTTATTGTCTGTTCTTTTATTATAACCACTCTGGTTATGATAAAGAGTTTTCAATAAGTTTAGGTGGTGGAATGGTTGACCTGTCAGAATGCATGAACATTGCATTATGTAACATGTGAATGAAATGAAAGGAGAGTTGGTTGATATTATAAATCATATGGCAAGTCTGATATGTAACAGGTGAATATGCTACCACACATATGATTTAAGCTGTTGCAACATGTTGAATTCATATCTTCTATGCTATTTCTCAGAAAAGTCACTCAAACGTCAATTCAAGATGGACCTGTGAGTGAGGAGTCAGTGATCACCGATTTGAATTTGGCCACGCCGGATATACGAGACCTAATAACTGCGGAACCCTTAGGACAGGAAACTGAAGATATGCCTTTCGATCTGGAGGCTTTGCTTTCTCAGGACATCAATTCAATCTTGACTGGGGATGACTCACATATTCTGTGTGACCCTATAATGAACAGGTATACACTCTCTCTTCTCTGAACATGTCTTCTACATATTTTTGAGGAAAATTTGTATTCTTTTCACAGTGCAGAAAACACTTTGGATAGAGCCGAGAAAAGGCAGGTGTATAACAATAGTTTGTAGAGTTTTTGAAGAATACTTCTGCCCAATCTTTCCCTTTCTTTGCTGGAAAATCCAGAAACAATATTTTGAATGGTGACAGGGACTCGGAAGTGCAAGTACACAGTTAGTGAGCTAATTTTAGGTGAGAGGTAGCATAACACTTTGCTGTACCCACAGTTGCACCTCTGAATATTGAATCAAGTCTGTTTTCATTTTGAAACCTTAACAAATCAGATATTTGAAAGGGAGATACTAAATTATGATGAATACTTCATACTGGTACTTAGCTCTGATAAATGGTTTGTGTTTTTGAAGAAATTGTGGATATTGATTTTCAGACATACATAGTTCTGAGTTTTGAAAATTACCTGTTTATCCAAAGCATAATATTATGATGATGGAAGCAATATGTGATTAAGAAAATATCCTTTAGAAACCTCCACTCCCAAAATTATCACTGTTTTTTATATACTACAGATGAACTCTTTGGTAATATATTTGATGTTTCACTATCTGCGGTCTTCTGAAAATGAGAGCTGCACACTGGCTGTGCAAAAACCCTCCCTCCCTCTTAAATCCAAAAATTGTTCTAAATTAGAGCAAAACCTTCCGCTTGGTGCACAACTGTAAGGGAAAAAAAAGATGTCTTAATTTCCTGAAACTAGATTCTGTGTGTTTCAGCAGAAATATTACTAAATTGGAGCCACAAAGGCGCTATCATCAGCAAAACTCTGGCCACAAAAACCTGAGTGACATGTAGAGGAAGAATGACTGCCTAAGTTTCAACTTCTCCAGCAGTGGCTATATTTGTCTGTTTAGATGCTTTATCATCTTATATTTGTATTATTTCCTTCCTTCATTTATTGCCTACCCTAGAGAGAGAAGGGTCATATATGGGCTTGGTAGACCTTTTTACATAAATAGCTTCCTGAAAAACACATCTAAAAGGGAGCCCTATGAGCTTTCAAACTGATCCTGAACTTTAGTGTGAACCCTCAGATTTGAGCCAAAGGGAACTACTCCAAACCATAAACTAATCTTCATCCTTCAGGGGACAGGGCATTCCTCAGAATCTCCATGGATCATGGGAACTCTGTCAGTTAAAATGATTTTTCTGAGTTGCTTTAACATCGCCTGAATTGGCCAGCAAAGCCAGGTTCAAGTTCAGCTAGACTGACAAACCCACAGGAAAGAACAAAGGTTTCCTATGTTAACGACCTATAAGAATTTAGTGCCGTTTGGGCTCTTGAAGTCAGCTTAAATAACAACAGTGGAAAATAGTGCAACCGGTGGTCCTCAGAGGATCTGATCTTCCTAGTAAATGGCATCACAAAATGAAGTCAAGAGCTTCACAACCGCATAAAGTCAAAATATAAAACTTTCTGTTCACTGTCAACTACTGTGTGTCACACTCCCTCAAATCCATTGCTCTCACTGATTGATGAAATTCAGGCTAAATGCTGCCCATGGGGAGGAATACAGTCATTTGAAAGACTAAGTTTAGAGCGTGTATAATCTCATAAATGAAAGGCTATAGGTCATGCATTACCTAGTTACATTGTTGTATTGCTTTGCATCTCTTTTCTGATTGGGGACAGTGATTCATCATCTTCACTGGCACAAAACAATGGAAAAACATCCTGTAGACTGAGATTTCCTGGGTTGAAGAATATTTACTATTCAGAATTCTGACAGAATAGAATAATGTGGATTTTCTTACATCCTTCTGGGGATTTTCAGGTTGAGAAATCTGGTATGAAAAAGTTGGAAGTGGGCCACTCTGGATGAATTACAGCCAGTCAATTATGTACAGAAATCTTCTGAACAACAGTAGGGTTCATTGTCTGAAAGTGAAATTTCTGTAACTGGAAAATGCCATAGGATTCATGGTTTTTTGCTTGAGGACCTATAATAATCTGTGTAATTCACTAAATTTGGGACATTTTCTCAAAGATTATCTTTTGCCATTTACATTATCTTTTGTCCATCCATCGTCATCCTGCTTGGAGATAAAGACTGTTAATTTCCCACTCCTCCATTTTTCATTCAAGGGATGAAATGCACTCCACTGATGAAGATTTGATGGAACTAAATTCTCTTCTGTCTAAGAATAATGTGAATTACACCTCTGATCATGTCAGTGAGGTAAGTTTATCAATTCATATTTAAGACTTTATTGCATTTACATACATTATTCCCGAAAAAGAATGATAAATGACAATTGACACTAATTGACACTAGTATTATTGACACCAATAATACTGTGCCTAGGATTCAAGAGTGCTTCTTACTTTGGTCTTTAAATTAATTTAATGTATATAACTTTTATGTCTTGGTTTTCTGAACCAGAAAATGAAGAATTTCTATGTCCTTCTCCATAGTACTATCACAATTTATGTTACATTGTGTAATTTATGTGTTAGACTGTTAGTATAAGAATTTATGTGGTGGTTTTTCTTGCTGTAATCACTTAAAAATAAACAATGCAAAAATATCCCTTTGTGCAGTATTATGCTTTGTTAGTAGTTTCTTATGTCTCCAAAATTCTTCTTGTCACATTATTCTTCATTGTTGCATAAAATCCTTCTTCCTGATGATCGCAGTAGGTCTAGAATTTAAATTATTTTTAGAGGACCTTGTTTAAATTCTTTTTTTTCTTTTCAGCCAGTCTCTTCTGAACTTCCAAATTTGGTGACAAATGAAACCGAAACTTTACGCAATGCGTGTGTTATGGCTGAAACATAAAATCTACTTTATACATTTTATAACTTTTTTACATTGTCCAAATATGAGGTCCTATATTGTACATTTACTGATGGAAATTTCCATGATAACAGATTATTAGTAGGAAAATTTTTGAGTTAAGTGAGTGAAGTAGAGTGGTATATAGCATGTTATGTATATTCCTTCACTGCCCTGTTCATGCTTTTTTTCTCTGCCAAAATATTGACTATTTACAGAAAAGTCCAGCCTAAATTAGTAAATATTTTTCAACATTTTACTACTTTAGTTTGCATACTAGGTACACCAGAGACTGATGTAGTGAAGTACCAATGCTTTGTTCACACAGCTGCAAAGGGCTACTGATAAAATAATTGACAGTCCAGAGAGTTGTGCACGTGACATTCCTGCTAACTCAAGAGGTTGAGGTAGGAGGATCATTTGAGTCCAAGGATCCAAGGCCAAAATGGGCCACATAGTGAGACTCCTTCAAAAAAGTTTTTGGCAGATCCTTTTAAGCAAATGGATACTTTTCTTGGCAGTTGCTTGATTTTTAAGTCATACAATTTATAGTCTTATACCTGTCAAAAACTAGACTGTATTCAGTTAAATGGGCTTTTCAAAAACCTCATATTATGGTGATACATACATACTAATGTTTATAGCCGCTAAATTCCTAATAGCTAAATCATGGAAGCAACCTATATGTCCATCAGTAGAGGAATGGTTAAAGAAAATGTGGTATTTACACAGAATGGAGAATTCCTGTACCATAAAAAAAGAAAAACATGTGTCATTTGTAACAAAATGGATGTACCTTGAGACCATAAGGTTAAGTGAAGTAAATGCTGCATGGTTTCTCTTATATGAGAAAACCAAATTGTAGATAAAGAGCAAAATAAAAGATGGATAAGAAGAAGTAGAAAGCTAGATTTTTCTTAAATGGGATAGTGATGAAGAGATGGACGAAGGAAAGAAAAGTGATTAGAAAAAATTGAGATGTGTCATATACATGCTTCAACTCCACATGGGGAATGTAAACATCATGTTGTATAAACATGTACTAACTTTAAAAACTTATTTTAAATGTCATGTACCATGCTGAACAACAGAACTTTTTGAGATCTTGCTTCTTGTGGTCAAGGGCACTATGTAGAGTATTTTAGGGAATATTTTTTAGGAGATATTTTAAGAAACTTGTCAGACAGAAAAAAGTCTGGATTAACAGTAACATTAGCACATAACATTAGCACATTCTTGGTTTTCTTAAACATTATGTCACATTTTAGGATACCTTTCCCTCTCATTTATGCTACAAGTTTGTGGCTATAGGTGACATTTTAATGAGAACATCTAATAAAAGGAGTGTTTGTGCAGTTCACACTGTGATGTAGATAAATAACTGAATGTTAAATACATCATTGTATAAAAATTAAATAGGTAACTAAATTTCATCTTTACAAAGAAATATGCATTTTGACTGGACTGAGTCAGGTGGTAAATGGCCATAATTATAACTGCAATTTGTATGAGGACCAAAAAATAAGGCATCTGGGTTGTTTTTTAAATAATCATCTCTTTTTTAAGCTCTTCTTCAAACTACTGTGAACATCAAGAAAACATAGTTCTTAGCAGATAATTGCCTGTAATAGTGTACTTACAGATCCCTTTCTCTTAGCTTAGTGTAAAGTCTTATAGTTGTCTTATATTTGTCTTATAGTCGTCTTATATTTTAAATCAAAATGCAAACCCCTTCTATTTTCCCATAACTTCTTTCTCCAGCTAGGGAGGTTCTCCAGATGGAGCATTTAATCTTTTGCTATTGATTAATAAGTAATAGACAGAATTGATACTTTTTATATTGTTTAGCCAAGATGACTTGAAAGAAGCATTCTTTTCTTTCTGCCAGACGTACTAGGCATGTTAGGTAAGTCCTATCATTCAGGTTCAAATACTTAGGTTGAAATCTAATATTTACTAAATTTGCTTCTGTCTTGGCAGGAAATATTGTCCAATATTATCTCAAACTAAATGACATTTAGACTTACATTGTATAGTTAGCTATCACTCCATTAGAAATTGATTTTTCTTCTGTCTAGAAATCAGTGACTAAAGAAAATTACAACCATTCGAAAATAAAATAAATAGAAACATTTATTCCTCAATTTCATTACTCTCTCAAGGGATAGGCTTATTTTTGGATCTAAGATTGAGCACAACACCTTACACTTGCTAAGCACTTCTCTAAGAATGATTGGTTGATGATATTGTAATGCTCTTTCTTCTTGTCTAGAGTTTAACTTTAATGGAAATTGAGGAAGGAGAGATAAGTCTACTTGGTGCCAATGGAAAAACAGGTATAAGAGAATATTTATAAAAGGATTTGAAAATTTTATGTCCCAGTCCCAGCCCCATAATTTACAATCTATAGTGACCCCTGGCAAGTAGTTTAACCTCTTTGAACTAGAATTTATTCTTGTGCAAACTATGAATAGTTTCCTTTCCTTTTTCATAAATTCCTTTGAATGCTAAATCAGATAATGTATCTGAAAGAGCCTGTTAACTACCAAATAAACCTGAAGGATACTATAATATGAAGTCTCCGGTTTTTAGGCAAAAATCATAATAAAAAAAAACCCTCAGAGGGATTTGCTGTAATGAGTTTAGGTTTTTCCAAAGTAAGTCTTTCTTAGAAAGTAGGTCCTTTTTTTTTTAAAACTAAACTTAGTCCTTCATAGTTAGGCTTAGATTTTATGGAAAGTGTACCCTGAAATATTTATATTCTAGTTGTTAGTGCTATTCCTAAATCCAAAGCAGATTTTGATACAATTACATGATATTATTCTGCTGTAGAGAGATTATTCTAAAAGGGTTGAAATAGTAGGTATAGTAAGAAAGTCTGATACTATCTTCTAAGAAGTAAGAGCATATTAGTCATGGTTAAAATGCCCCTCCAGTAGTAGATGTGGACAGTGTGACTCAGAAGGTTGGAAGAATACCCTTCATTCTGTTCCGGGATGCATTTAACAGCATAAGATTTATAAATTATACTTTGCCTTACCTCCTCTTTTCCTAAATTATGTATAACAAAGCACTGTCACACCTTGCTTTCCTCACTAGATGAGCTATTGATGAGTGATTTTGGAGAAGAACATGAAGATTTTAGTGACCTCCCTTCAGAAGATGTGAAGAAGCCATCGAATTTCTTCCCAGGTTTACGTGACCATGATTATGCAGCCCAGAATATTTCTTCTCAAGATGTTACAAGTCCTACTGAAAATGTTACTCCCCCCTCATGTATGGACACCAGTGAAGAGTGAAAGCGATTCCCCCTGCCTCTTTTGTAACTCTGTTAGCAGTTGTGTTGAAGAATCCATTACAGTTGATCCTTCTACTTGAGTTTAGTTTGAGCTCCCTACAATCTAACTTTCTGGTAGAAAACAGATAGGAATTTCTAACTTTGTCTAGCATATTTCCCTTTATCACTTAATCACAGCAGAATCTGTAACTTTAAAATGTGTTAATATTTTTGCTCTCTTGTACATAAGCACAATATCATAGTTGGGATAAAATCCAGTCCACATGAAAAGGACAGGAAATTCATCAAAGTTAGGGGTTAATAAAAAGGCCCTTTTTTTCTAGTTTTAAAGCAACATTCTTCCAATACTTTGTGTCCAGAATAGAAATTTGTGTTAAATGCCAAAAACTACAGTAGGTTTCTAAATAAATAGCAAATCTCTGTGATTAGTTTCTGCTTATAGGAAAAAATACATCATCTCAGAATTTCTTGAGACAGATCTGGTTTCGAAAAATAATGTTATTTGTCAACTCTGAAAAGGATGGCTCTAAAATTTTCCTTAGATTTTAAAGGTACATTTATTTTAGATTTTACAGTTTTTCTGTAAGTTTTATTAACTATAGAATTTTTACTTCTTAAAGAAAATGTAATTTTCAACATAAAATGAAACTTTTTACACCAATCACTGTAAGAACTCTGATTCTCTAACGAAGTTCTTCCACCAAATGTAAAGAAACCTAAGAACAAATTACTTATTAGAAATTAAAATGGCATATTGCAACCAACCATTTTTCAACTATATCTCTGATCTCTGCATCCACCTCTATAGTTGTTTCAAATTCACCCTGCCATGTATGTAATTCTTTTATGACTAATTATGCATCAAAAATGTTATGCTTTTAATCAATTTGGAATAGTTTGCACACAAACTTCTCCTACAACAACATTCATTTTTACCCAGCACAAGGGCACCGCAGCACTTAAACTCTAGATCATCTGTTTGGTAGAAAAATGTTATAAAACATGGGCAAGATTTCTGGTTTCAGAAACTTGAAGGTAAATTTTTGCATTACATTTTTATTTTGGTACCAGGAACCAAACTCAGGGCCTTCTGCTTGCCAGGCAGGCACTTGTGCCACTGAGCTATATCCCTGGCCCTCAAGGTAAATTTTTAAGAGATCAATTTGTACTACTTTTCTACTGTTTTATTCCCTTCCACTAAACTCTACCTACAAATTTACTAATTTTATGCATTTTTTAATTTCACAAATTTCACATGTGCTACCAATTAACTCATCATTAAAGGAAAGGAAGGATTTTGTCATTGTTTTCTGCCATTACATCTTAAATAGAGTATGTTCACTTAACTGTGATGCTTTATACATTTAAAATTCTTAAGAAACTCCAGTCTGCATTTTATTGAGTACTGAGCACTTATATGAAGAGTGAGTCTAATGTAATTTATAAATTGAAAAAAATTTGTTGTTACTGTTATTTCATGTGCTGTATAAACTTAATAAAGAACTTAGAATACTTTCATAGTGCCTTCTTTGTGGTAGAGGGGACATTAAGACAAAGGATACAGCTTCTAGGCTGTGTGTGCATATATGAATGAAAATGTATATACACTCATATGAATTTGTCTTTGCATCATTTTACCACTTCAAAAAATATCTTAGACTGAGTTCCCTCTAATTCATGCTGTAAAAGTAAAAAAAAATCACAGATCCATATATGTTAGAGACAAGTATGAGCAAAAGTGAGCTGACTTGATAGGTGTTTCTGTGAGAACTAGAGATATACACTTCAGGCTTAGTCCTTACAGACTGTTAAGAGTTCTAAAGAAATATCATAAAGAAAATTAGAGGCAGGAATAGCATAGGTGGGTCAGGGGCTACAAAAGGAACAAGTAAAGGTATACAGGTCTCATTGGTACATATCTATAATCCCAGCTCCTCAAGGGGCTGAGGTAAGAGATGGCAAGGTAGAGCCAGCCTAATACATTTAGATTGGAGAGTTTTAAAAATCTAACATTTATAAGTCTGAAAATGTGTTGTTTTCCCAGGTCCCACAGCCTACATTAAATGGGTAATGAAATAGTGAGCGTAGTTTACTATTACCTTTAAACAAAAGAAAAACTGACCTAACAGACTTCATGTTTAACAAGTGACTATTGAGCCTGGATTTTTCTTTGATTTGCTGAGAGGTTTTTTTCTAAATTCTTCACCACATTGCTTTAGACAGCCTATAGAAGAGAAAGAATCACTATGCTAAGTGGAATGGCTATCACAAAGTAATCTTGGTAAACTGTCTTGGTGCCTGATCACTAAATAAGTACCAAGAATATGGATTTGGCTTTTCTTCTCTGAGAGTCGTGGTTCCTTGTACTCAGCCAGACAAGTACCCAACTATTTTCTGTGACATTACTATAAGGGTATATGCCTGAGAAAAGGTGAAATGTTTCTTTGGAAATTTGGTTACATAAAGGGCTGTAGCATCTCCTTAATTAGAAACACTATATGAATTCTGAAATATATAATGGAATTTATTTTGACATTAACTTTCTTAATGAAGACTTAGAAGCAACTAACAGCTGCCCCTAGAATTCCAAATTATGAAAGTTTCCTTTCATACAGTGGAAAAATTTCAAATAATATTTAACTCATTTACTTGGCCTGTGGTCAGAGCATTGTTCTTAAAAAATTATTATTGGTAATGTGATTTTAGCACAATGGAGAAAGAGATCCATTTCCTTTTCTTTAGTCCTTTTCAAGACACAAGATATTAAGTAAAGATTAGTCTTTCTGAATGTTCAACTCTTGTGTTATTGCCCAAAACAGTAGAATGAATAAAGTATTAAAACTCATCAATTAAGAGGATAAATTGCCATTTGCTTTTCTATTCCTCTGAATCCTTTTGTTTAACAATATTGAGAGCCTATTTTGTGCCAAGAACTGAAGATAAATGAACAAGACAGGGTCCCAGCCATTGTGGTTCTTACACTTTTAGTGGAGTCAAATTAATCATTCAACTATATACTTTTGCTAAAACCAAAGAGGAACAGTGGAAAAGGAGATTTACTTTGCTTACTTATTTATTATCTATTCTTCTTATCCAAATTACAAGTTATAAGAGCAGAAATTTTTGATAATTTTCACCTGTATTAGTGCCTAGAATATGTTTGTTGAAAGAACAAATGCGTATGTGATGAGTCAAGTTATCTCTTAAGTAGAAAAAGCCATTTCCTAGTGCTTGGGAAGAACTACAAAATTTTGGAAGAAAGGATTATGTTTTCATGCAGTGAAATTTCTGACATGATTCTGCTTAGTTTATTCCACTTAGAACACAGAAATATCCCTGAGGCAAGTGCTTAAAATAAACCAAAAGTTCATTCCACTTCTTTTGGACAGTCTGAACTTACCCTGTTTCATTTTGGAAGCCATCCACAAACTAGGCAAGGCAGTCTACCTTTATTTTTGTGATCAAAATTGTATTAATCATATTGTGTTCTTTTTTCTTGCCTCTAAGTACTGTTCATATTTCTCCCACACTTCTCTGCTGAACTGCAAATGTGAGGAATCAGTCTGAATATTGCCAAGTTTCCTAATCTAACTTTTTTTATTTTAGCCTGGTAGTTATTGTTTGTTTTGTAACATATGTACATTCCAAAAAGTTGACTAAATTTTAATATTTTAAGTGACATTGGTTTTTGTAAATTAAGTAAATCATAAAATTAAATAATCGAGTAAAATACCAAATAATATGTTGTGCCTTTGCATACTGGATAGTATTACATTAATAGTAGTACTTGGACCTGCCAGAGTGAGAGGGCATTTGATATCTGTGGTCTAATTCCAGCATCTCCCCATAACCTTTATCTAACTTAGACACTTGTCCAAATTATAAAAAATTCTTTCCATGTCAGTGCCCCTGACTTTACATCTTGATCACATGCTCATTAAAGATAATAATTAGCTTAATTTCTTCATGTATGCCTATGCCAAAAAGGGGAAAGGAAGGAGATATGGTAATCTCTGGAAATCTTGCTAGTTACATCCCTATTCACAGTAACTCAAATATCATTTAGATTTACACAGAACTTTACAAAACACTGTTGTCTGGGACCGAGTCCTAAAGATTTCATTGTAATCTGTTAGAGATAATATTTTACATTGGGAATTTTAAAGGTTCTCCAGATCATTCTAAATGTAGCCAGGGCAAAGACACTGCTTTATATTTTTGATAGATGTGATACCATCTGTCAGAGTTAATAATACTGATTGTTTGGATCCATAAACATGAGAATCTATCCTGAAGTAGCTGGAACCAACACGATCGTGGAAACTCTTTCAAAGAGGAACAACAGGGACATGTGCTCCAAGATAGCATGAGAAATGCATGCTTCTTCATAGTACCTGTAAGATACAAAGTGTTCATCAAACTTTTTAAAAAATGAAGCATTCTTGAAAATGTCATTTACTTATTTATTTACGTTTCTGTGATGCATAACTCTCACTTCGAGAGATAATGACAATTAAAGGAAGATGGCCAAATAGAAATTCCATTAACTGCAAGGCCTTAAGATTTTTCCTTTGCAGTACCTTCCACAGCTTCACTTAAATTGTTGTTTGATCCATGTATACTGTAAAAGCACCTGCTGTTGAAATACTTTAACTACTGCACATGGCTTATCATCATCACAGTTTCATTGATCCAGTTTTGTCAGGAATACCTAGACTTTTAGATTTTTCTTGTCTTGTCTGTTCTTGTTTGACTTGTCTTATCTTGTCAGTCTTTGCCTTCTCTGTTCTTGCCTTACCCTAAGTAGTGCCAGCCAAGAGCTGCTTTACGAAAACCAATAGTAACAATTTAAGATCACTCTCCATGTATGTGGCAGTAACCAAGCACATCAAGGAGGCAATTGTCAATGACCTGTAAATCTAGGGATTTATTCTAGTAACTTCTTTTAGGTTTTTCTTGATTGTTTCTTTTCACTTGGTTTCTCTGACTCCCAATGTTGTCCTGTTGTGACACTACCCTAGTGTCCCATGTGCTATGGGAATAGAGGTCTGATTTCGCTATTTGATCATCAAAGCCATTTTTCCATCTCAGTCAGCATACCCTCAGGGAGTATTTGAATTTCCCAACTCCCCAGTCACGAGGTTTGTTATCAAAGCTTGGTAGAATATAGTTGTTAGAAAAAAGTTACTAAGTACTCTTCAAAAAGTGCTCAAGGCTACAAGATCATGATATCTAAAGTACAGCTAATGGAACTGGGATTATATATTATAGAGAAGAAAACAATGAGAGTAGTGCCTAACTATTCCCTGTTAAAAGTTTAATGAGGTTACGCTGCCACAGAAAGGATACCGTACACCAGGATTATTTTCTAACATAATTGAAGGTAATCTCTCTCCTTTATACTTCTGGGCCATTTCATGTACATTAGAAGACACTTATACAGAACCTATAATTCTAATTTGTTGCCAGATTATGGATTTCCTTAATGCAAGAATATTTTCTACTTATTTTTGTATGGCTGGCACCAGCTCAAGGTCAGGCA